TGATTAATTCAAAATTATAATTAATAGATGTTCTTATTAGCAAAATTTTTTGCATAATTCATCTCTTTTCTTTCTTTCTATTCGCTCTAAAGGAAAGAAGAAAAAATATATTGTGAGGGCTTAAGTCGTAGAAAATTGACCTATCAGAAACGAATATGAAGAAAATAATCAATTAATGATTGGTCAATTTTCTATAGTTTAAGCCTCGTCTACAACTATTGGGTACTTTCCATTTAAGGCCTCATTCACCAACTCTAATTACATTGTATCTAGAGTCTTAAGGTTTGTTTGCATTGCACGCTTCAACATGCCCAATGCGCTCTAATATGTCGCGTCATGAAAACCAATATGGCAACTAGATGTTGACGTCGCGTAGAGCATACTTTATGTATCAATTAAAAGCACGCATGCGTAATGATTGAAAACGTACTGTATTGAAAAAAAGTATTTCAGATTTATTAATTTTATATAAAAACGCATAATAAATACGTTTTTAATATAAATATAAAAATATAATATAACATAATATAATAAAATATTAATAAAATAAAATAAAATAAATAAATAAAATAATATTGATATAATAAAATAAAATATAATATAAAAATATAATATAACTTTTATATTTATTTATTTGGCTCCATAATGCGCGGTTATTCAAAACTTACGTATAGCCATAGCACAATATATACAGTAGCGCAACTCTTTGTCTGCACCTTTAATGTTAGTCAATGAATTCGTTGGATTGCGATGTGACTAAATCTAGTGAGTTTTGCGAGAAATTTTAACAGAGTGAAAAAAGGATGAAAAGAGAAAGAAGTTTAAGTGGTAACCGTGGCAACGCTAGGTAACTTACTTTTTCACGCATGTGCACTCCATTTTGGCCAACATAAAATCAAGAGAGTTGCGCTCTGCACATGCTCCGATTGAATACAAGAAAAGGAATTTGTTACGTTCGCGGTGTGTTTACATAATATTATAAATAAATTATTTATCGCGTGTGATATATTTATATTTATTTACTCGACGTGTGAAGAAATGGCGTTTACGTTCGGAAGTCCAGCGGTCACCTCTGCTAACACAGGTTTTGGATTTGCGGCGCAAAAGTAAACTATAGTCGTTAACATTAACCTCCAAACAGTAAAAAATTATTATAGCTTTAATAAATAATAACGTAAAGTTCTTTTTTTATTTAATGCATATTTATTGCAAATTGAAACTATAAATTTATTTCTCGCAAAAGGGAAGAAAAACTTGATGTTTAATTGTAAACTCTTGTTCTTGTTATTTAGACCAGCGACAGGCTTTGGTTTGGCCAACACGTCGTTCGGCGTCCCTACCACAACATCTGGCACATTAACGTTTGGCGCCCTGTCTACTCCAACGACTTCTATAGGTCTCAATTTCGGATTTGGTACTCCAGCAACCTCTACACCAGCACAAAGCAGTAATCTCCTTCTAGGATCTAACACAGCTACTACAATGACTACTGCTCCTAGTTTATTTCCTACCCCTACAACATCCACACCCTTATTCACGAGTCTCAGTTTTGGTACACCAGCTACAACGAACACTTTAACTTTTGGTGCCACATCTAATACACCAGCAACGGGAAGTTTAACTTTTGGTACAGCTACTACCAACAGTATGTATACTTTATACTCTATTATTTTTATTTATATATTAGACTTTTTATTATCCATCTTTTTGCGATTACTGTGTAATACAATTACAGCGTTGATTTTGACACTGATAAATTATGATTGTTATTGACATTTTGATTGGTTCATTCTTAAAACCAGTGAAATATATATTGTTGTTAATCAACTATTCTAATAGTTGATATACAAGTTTTTTATTATGATTGATTATCATAAATTATATGCAGCTCCCTTATTTGGATCTGGAACTGGAGGCACTTTATTAGGTTCGAAGCCAACGACCATTCTTACTACTACAACTACTAGTAAAGGACTTGGTGGTTTAGATGTTTCTGTTAATAATAAGGGTCTTTCTCAAGGAAATAGTAGTTCAACAGCAGCCAAAGAGAATCTATTGCCAAATGAGCTTATGCAAACTATAGATAAATTCAAGTAATTATAAATAAAATGAATCCTATAGAAAATAATTGACTCATATATAGACAGATAAATTATTTTAATATACAAGGTATGCATGTAATGCAGTAACTTGTACTTTACAGGGAATTTGTAAAAATGCAAAAAGGCCTATCTTCTGATATTGCAAGAGGTTCGGCAAGACCATTAAATCGATGTGCGGAAGATACAGCGTCCCTAATGGAAATGTTGTCCACGTTATCTGGCTCAGTGCAACGAGATCGTTCTTCAGCTGATAAGCTGAAGCAGGACACTGCTAGAGCGTTGCAGAGCGCTGAAATAGCTCAAAGAACACACGATACTCCGGCTGGCTTGCAATATGAAAATAATATGCCCGTACAATTCTTCACGGAATTAGCTGAAAGTTTCGAACAAGATTTGATGTTGTTCAGATCACAAATTGAGACAACTGAGAAACATATACAAACCATGATGGCACCGAGAACTTTAACCCCACAAGGTACAATCTATTCTTTCATTAAATTTGGATAAATGAGGGATAATTGTTAGTGATATATTGCTTTGTCATTAGAATTGACAGCGACCATGAGTAAGCTTCACGAGTCTTTAGTCGCAGTAGCTGGCCGATTGCAAAGTGTGCATGCTAAAGTACAACAACAGAAGGAACAGTATCTCAATTTCAGGAAATACTTGTTGAAAGATAACACCAATGTTTTCGACAGTATCAAGGTGAACAATAAATCTAATCGAAGCAGCATTGGTAAAATCACAAGTGGTCCCACTCCTTTTGGACCAGGTAATATTACATGTATTTCAAATTATTTCGAATATTGTAAATTTTGAAAAACGAGATTAATGCTTACAGGAAATAAAAACTTTTTATCATCGACGACATTAAACTCAAATCGGCCAACGAGTTACGAAACACGAAACCCTTTAGGTAAATAAGCCTTACTGTTGATCATTTTGTAATTTAATTATCCTTATGCTAAGTAAAAAGATTCCTTAAAAAAAAAAGATGATTTTAACCGCCCCCTAAAGATTTCCTACCTTCAGGTCTTGCCTGGATCTAGTTATGAGGTAGAACATACTAACATATAACGACGTTTATTACTAAATAGAATTAACGTGCAATTATTTAGCCTGTCTACTTTCTTTTTCTTCTTTTCTTCCTTATTATTTAACAAAAGATACAGTCATCTTTTGTTTTTATCTTATTTGACTTTGATTTTGCCTTTCAGGAAAAAAAATAGGGGCTGTAATTTAATTATTGAGGTATTCATTTTTTTAATTTCAGTTTCTTTTTGTTATTGTCGCGATGGAAAAAGGGTAACGCGCTTCTTTGCCTGTATATAAATCTCTTATCAAGTAACTAATTAATTTATATAGATAATTATAATATTGTTGATCTTTTATATACTTTGCATTGAGATGCTATTAAAAGATTCAATTTCAAAATCATGCTTTCTTAACAGACGATAATGCCTTCTATAAATGTGCTTTGAGTGCTTTTGGCTTTGCCAATGTTGTGCAGTAATGCTTGCGAATATGGATACTATTCAAAAAATATTGTCGCATTCGTCACGGAGTCAAACAAAATTTTGCAGGATATATAGAGATGTTAAAATACACATCCCATGCAATTTTCAACCGATTTTAAAGTGGAAATTTAAGGGTAAAAAAAAACTATAAATGTAGATACAAATATTTTTATGATAGATGTAACAAGAATGTCCATTAATATAAAAACATCAATTATATATTTAATAATAAATAGTATTAATATGATAAAATTGGCTAATGTTTTGAAATATAATTATCATCTCAAAAATATGTGAACACTGTCTTATCTTTTCAATGGTAAAAGAGATATTACTCCGTGGCTTTAGCTATTACACATGTTTCTTTACAGCACTTTCAAGTGAATTAAAAGTAACAATGTTAATATATATATTGTTACAGTTTGGGAAAGTTCAACACCAGTACCATCTGCTACTAATATTGCTATAGGCTCATCTATGAAACCGCCAACAGCAAGTTTAAATTTTAACGCGCCAATTAATTTGACTTCACCATTGCCAGTAAATGGAACCAGCTCAAACTTTCAACTCCAAAAACCTCCCGTTGGTAATAAACGAGGGAAACATTGATCATTCGTTTCGAACCATTATTTTGTAACACACAAATTGTTATCTTCAATACACGTTGTAAAGTCTCCTCTACCAGATTGTTAACGTTGAATGACCGTGTTAAAGCAAAAGTATTTTTATATTGATCATTATTAATCATTGTGATATTCTTATCTTTTTTTTACATGTGTTGTCAATATATACATAGTGTAATCTTTATTGGAATTTGTACCTTATGTTACAGATATTCCGTATTCTTACATTTATCAACCATACTTTTATATTATTAAATGTCTAAAGTTTAGTTATTTTGTAATTATACATATATATATATGTGTGTGTGTGTGTGTGTGTGTGTGTGTGTGTGTGTGTGCGTGTGTGTGTGTGTGTGTGTGTGTGTGTGCATTACTAGTGCACAAATGCATTAAAACAATTTTCTATTAAAACCTGTCTAATATAGATCCCAATGTAAATGTGTACATGTATTGTCATATGTATATATCTGTAACTATCTTATATTTGATGACAACGTGAAATACTGCAAAAATCAACAATGGCAAACAATACATTCAGTTAAAAGATCTAAATAATATATTGTTAATGGAATTAACAATAAATATTGGTCCCTTTCTCGAATATAGATACTTGAAAGATAAAATGGACAATGTTTACGAAATGAGAAAAGGAGATAATATTATGCTTTATGCTTATTGGAAATTATATTTAATCTAGATGATATCGTTAAATATAAAGTATAAAAGGGTTTTTTTTAAATATATTTAATAATTATTTATTAGATTGTACCAACTTGTAGAATAGGAATAAGAAGTCTAAAGGCATCTTGAATATATGAATTTGCATTTGCAGCCTGTGTGAAAAAAAAGTTTTTAATATTACAATCATCATGATACTTGAATTATTCAACCAACTACTTACTTCTAAGAAAATTGTTGTTATATTCGCATTGATGTTATCTGGTTTTTTCGTAGTCTCGGCAAATCGATGTAACGTATCGCAAAATGAATTGGCCAGTAAGCTAATCTGATTAGATAGAACATTGGTGAGTTGTACCAAGGCATCTGCTTCGTTCACTGTACTGCGACGTTCTTTGATTAACAACAATTCTGCCGTCTTATGAAATCTCTCTACGGAGAGTGCTGTAAACTGTGCCAATGTCGATATAGCATTCTGAAAAATCTCCTGATCTGTATGCGTTGTGGATGATGCAAGATAATTTTCCGTTTCTGTCCAAACCTGAAAATACAGAATTGTTTTCGTCATAATGAACAGAAGTCTTTTGATTTTGATAGGTATATATTTTCTTACATCATATAATTTTTCATAAGTAATATCAACACCAAGATCGTGACAAGCGTTCTTTAATCTGCTTTTCAAATCTTTATCATTTTTATCCTCATCGTCATCTTCATCACCTAAATCACAAAGTTCCTTGATTTCTTCTAATGTTTCTTGCACAGATGTCAAGTCGTTTGTATCCAGCTCGATTAAATATTGTTGAATTTTCATATTGCTCTGTTTTGATAACATTTCCAGAGCTTCTAAGTGAACAAGTCCCTGATAATCGTCGAATAAACTCTCATAATGCACCTTCCTCACTAATTCGCGCCCCTCGATTGTTTTCTCTTCCGTTTCGGCTTTTTCCTTCGCTTCTCTGAGAATTTGTGACAAGTTTGGTTTCTCCGGTTCATTCATGAAAAAGGCCCTTTTTTTCTTAAATCCTGGATCACCTTCTTGTAATACCTCCATTGTTTTCTTTCCGATAGCCTCCAACGTATCTAAACCACCCGTCATAACTTTGCTGCCGGTGGATTCAACTAATTTTGTAATTGAAGACACTCCTGATATCAAATTCCCAAATCCGAACGAACTGAACGATTGACTATCTTGTTCCTGGATCTCCGGCTGTGAATCTATTAATACAAATTAGCAAAGATACAATTATATACGTTATATGTTAACTGTTTATTTTCGTATGATTGATATATTCAGTGCAAAAATAGAATGTTATAAATATATAAAAATAAGAAAAAATTATTATGTTATTAAGCATATATACAAAAATCATAGTGCTATATAGAATTTACATTAAATATTATACCATCAGGTTCAGAAACTGCATTCTGCTTTATCCTTTCCAATTCTGTAGGATCCTGTACTATTGTACCTTCCAAAAGTATAAGTCCTTGAGACACATGACTAGTTAGAGTAGATACACTTGCGGTAGCTGTATTGATTAACGAAGTTACACCCCAATTTCCCCAATCGCCCCAGCTTCCTAAAGAATCTTCATCTTTGCTATCTTGTTTGTCTGCCAAGGAGAGCCTCTGTAACATAGGCTGTAATTTCTCTTCTGTCAATTCATCAGGCAATTCGACGTCATCTCCAAGTCCTTCCCAACCTTCAGGCTGAAAAACTTCTTTAAATTTTTTATTTGACTTTAATTCTTCTGGCATGTCTATTTCCGACAAATCACTTGATGATCTAAATTGATTACCTGTTACTTGAGTTTTTGATTTTTCTTCTGATTTACATTCTGTATTTTTGCCCACAAACAATAAGGATTTCTTATTTGAATACTTGGCTGCATCTTCCAGTTCTGTAGCTATATTGACGCAAGGTTCATCGATCTTATCCTTTGTAAGTCTAGTTCCTAATTTTTTTGTATCCAACTGGCGAGCAGTTGTACCTTGTTGCTTTGTTTGGGAAATTTTCTTGTTATCCAACTTGGTTTTTGTAGCTTCTACTTCGGACATGACATCTGATTCCAAGATCTTATTACTCTCTACCATAGATTCTTTGTCCTTTACTGATATCGTAGAGGTTGATGAGGATTTTCTTGACTCAACGGGGGACGTAGTCTCTCGTTCGTTAGAAGCTTTTTCTACACAATCAATCGACTTGGCAGTACATGTATCACTTTCAACTTTGACATTACTATCTATCTTATCATCCTTATTATCGACCAAGGTCTTTCGAGTCAACACATCTGGCGTCATTCGGAAAGTCTCAGACCTGCTCTGCCAGTTGATGATATCGCAAGGCGCATGTTGAACATATTCAGCATCATCGTCTGACTCGGAGTCAACCGTCGTTCGATAGACTGTCGCCCGGATGTTTCTCTTAACGAAGACCCCGCGACCCAATTCCTCGTCAGCGCTTTCAAAGTCGGCGTCGCTTTCGGACGTCGCCATCTCTACGTATAACGGGCCTTTTCCCTGGAAAAGGCGAGAAATCTTGCGCACACGTTCGGCAGATCTTAACGTTTAAGTACCTTGTCGCGAATCGAAGAATTCAACTTTTTCAACGTTCGAGGCGTAAGCTTACGTCAACATATGTTCCACATCATATTCCGTACACGCATGCATATATGTGCGTGTTCGTGTGTTTATACGACGGTCACGTGGGTCGTAGATGACGGAGTCATCGGACAAGCACGTCAAATTCGCAATCATTCGCAATACGCTTTCGTGGCGTTCGCTTCGCGGCGACAATTGCGCATGCGAGGTGATCTCGTCTGATCTCGTCTGCTCCGGGTTTCGGTCCGGGATAGTCCGTTGCACTCCACCGAAGCCTCGTAAGTTAAATGCTAGCTCTGCACTTCTCTTGTGCGCATGGCAGTTGAAACGCAAACAGCATGTACGCGACTGTTGAAGAACTTGAGAGAGAGAGAGAGAGATGAGGTAAAAGCTTGTAACGATCATACATCGTTCAAAAATATGACACGTTTTTTTTCAGCAGAGGAAGGGAGCAGATTTCTACGGTCATTACAATCTGTCAATACAGATGATTCAAAGATGTTTTATTTTTCTTTTAAAAGATTTTCGGACCCTGTTCGGCTATAATGACTGTTTCTATTAGTTAACGTAGACTAATTTTAATCTGTTTAATTTAGTCTTCATTTTTTTAAAATTAATTCTTACACATACACACGTACACACACCTTCGCTGTTTTTACCAATGTAGATTGATTTTTCTCAGTTTTATATTCTTTACTTTTTTAATTCTTAAAACTGAAAACAGATGAAGAATTATAATTGAACCAAGTAGGTTAAAAATAACCTACATTGATAGAAACGAATATAAAGCTTTGTGTCCACGATTCTAGAAATCTCGAATGGAAAAAGAATTAATCAATCGCATTGATTATATATGAGATCAAATTATTCAAATGTGCAGATTTGTTAATTCTTTTACTGTCCGAGATTTCGAACCGAAGATCGAAATTTCTTAAGGCTTTATAATTTAAAAAAAGTTAAGTCAAAATTGAAGTTAATCTTCTATATTAGTAGAAACATTAAGAAAGGGAAGAAAGTCTGCATATCTCTTTTCATTTCGCATATCTCATCAAGGCTGTGTTCGTTTTGGTGCTCACTTTAAGCTTCGTTTCATTCTTGTTTGTTAAATATTAAACAAGGACAATAGATACAAACGCTGTGACATCAAAGCGAATGCAGCTCAAATGTATACAATTTCGCGCCCCATACACTTGTTTGAAACAATGGCTGCGATCGATTTGTACGCTTTCAACACTTTTCAGGTACTTCTATTCTTATTTTACGTCCAATGAATGATAAAGACAGAATGATGATTACAAGCGCTTAAAGCGCGTAAGCGTCCAAATCGACCGTAGTCAATAAATCTGCTCGCGTTGCTTGCACTTTTTGCACTCGGCATCTTCGCTTTCTCTCTTTTCGTAATACGAATACATATTTTTATCTGATTTCAAGTGCAAAAATTTTACAAAACTTTAACCAACACAACGAATCTAACCACAGTGCACCTGCACCCACGATGTATTGTACGGTGGTGCCATTTTTGCGACATAGCGGCAAATATGTGAGGTATATGAAAGGGCAAATACGCTTGTTTATTACCGCTGGCTCTCGTGTGTGCGCGCGCTCGCGCGATGATCAGCCGACACATATGAAAGGACTACCGGCAGAGTTTCAAAAGAGACAGCACAATTGGCGCCGGTACGAGAGCGACGAGGACCGAGGATAGCTATGCGGTCGAGAAATCGGTGTTCCACCAAGCGGGTGGAAGGGACAATCGAGTGAGCGACGAGGACGGACGTCACGAGTTGGACGAGTTAAGACAACACGTCACGACAACGCTGGTGGGAGACAGCTATGTTCTTTGCGGTGAATACGGATGAAAGGGTAGTAGAGGGGAAGAGATAGAACCCGAGCGGGAGAAAGAGAAAGACGAATGACTGAATGAGTGAGTGAGAGAGAGAGAGAGAGAGAGAGAGAGAGAGATATTGCCAGGCGGCGCGCACGGCATAAACGTCCAGTGGCATGTCTGAAACACTCGGCATGCTCGTAGCTGTGACGCGAGGTGGTAGTATCGTCGGAAACGAGAAAATTATCCGTCGTGTGCGAAACGCGAAAAACCTGGGACACATCGTGCGCAGAGAACGAGAAGTTATTCCCAGACTGTGAAGGTACGAAAGGTAAGAGACTCGTCTCTGTTTCACCGATCCGACCGAGAGATTGTAGCAGCGGACAGTTCGCGGTATCGTCCTCGCCGCCGTCATCGTCGATCGCGAGTGCCAAGTCAAACGGGAACGCGAGAGTACGACTTACGGGAGGGAAAGAAAAAGGAGAAAGAAAACGGTAAAAGAGAGAAAGAGAGGGAGACTCCTCTCTCATGCGCGTTGAGAGGCGAGAGCGAGGGCAGCGTCGAGTTCCCACATTCCTGCGTGCGAAAAACGTCAAGATCCGCTGCTCGGCATTAGCATTACAGCGGCGGCTAATGCAAGGAGGAAAAGAGAACACGGTGAAACGTCGTTCGCTGGTGTACGGTGGTGCACGGAGCCGGCGCTGAACGCGCTGAATGCGCGTCGCTCGAAACGGGTCGCGGGCCGTTCCGCCTCCGCCACCGTCGTCGTCGTCGTCGTTGCCGCCGCCGCCGCCGTTGCCGCCGCCGCCGCCGCCGCTGCCGATCACAGAGTAACAGACAGCCGCAGACCCGCAGTTGCAGTCACGACGTCGCTATAGTGTTTGCCGCCGGAGAGCGGCCGTCGAGCCTGCTGTGAATCCCTGCGTCAGTCGGATTATCGGACGATTGTCAATTGTCGATTACCGGTGCGTGTAGCGCGCCAGCAGTTGCTGACTCGAGCGCGTGCCGTTCATGTGAATACTGCAAACTGGCTGGACCTTGAAGGTGTCATTCCCAAGGGAAGGGATAGAAGGATGCTCCAATACTATCCGGAGGGATAAAGAAACGTGTGACGATACAAGGTGTCTTCGTCGTCGCGATCATTTTCGTTCGTCGTTCGTCGTTCGTGTGAAGGATAACACGAGTGCCCGGGAAATTTTGAAAGGTGTTCTGTTTTTGTTTGTTCTCCATAATTGTCCTCTGTTGTGTTTGAAAGAGAGTTTCGAAGGAAACGAGCGGGAAGATCGTGCCGCAAGATTCGAAAATCCGGGAGACTGTGCGGCGCGGCGCGGAAAAATAGATTCGTGTGTCGCGAGTGCGTCGAGAGAGAACGAGGGAAGAAAGTAAATAAATCAATCAATCAAAAATAAATAAGGAAGAAGGTGAGAATTGCTGCCGGTGATTGATGGTGGTGGTGGTGGTGGTGATGGTACGCCAAGTGCACCTGATCGATGCACCCGTGCGAGGGCAACACCACGACACCGTCGCCGTCACCGTCGCTCGCCGCCTCAGGCTGCTCCTCGGCGGCTGGCTGTGTTAACGGTGGAATTCCGCTCGAGAGGAATCTGAAAGGCGGGGACTCTGACGTCACTCCTCATGATAATGAGGTATTCATGATGGCGGAGTAGTGCGCGCGAGTCAGAGAGAAAGAGAGAGAAAGAGAAAGAGAGGGAGAAAGAGAGAGAGAGAGAGAGAGAGAGAGAGAGAGAGAGAGAGAACGCTCGTACACATATGCGAATGTACGCTCTTGATCACGCTTCTGTGTTCCCTCAGTGTGTGTTACAATACATTTTATCCGTCCTCGTCGCTCTAGCGGGGCCGCCACCGTTCGCCGTCTCGCTCGATCCCCTCCCTCCCCTCCCCCCCGTCCACCTGCCCTTCTACGGCCGGGTCGGCCGTCCTCTCGTTCCTTCTCTATCCTTACCCCTCCTCTTCTCTCTTCATCTCACGCTTCGCGTCTACCTGTCCCATTCTCTCACCGTCACGTCGCGACCGACGTCGTCGTGCGAGCGTGCCCGCGTGCCGTATATGCGGTCGGAGAAGCGTGCGCCCGCGTCCGCGCCCGCATCCGCGCGCACAGATATGCGCCCGTCGACCGCCACCGCACGACGATAGAGAGAGAAAGAGAGCGGTTTTGGATGGATTTAGAGCGCAGTGAAATATGCCCAGGAGACGGAATGGGGAGATACCGCTTCCGGACGGTTGGGATGTCGCCCATGACTTCGACGGGAAGGTGTACTTCATCGATCACAACACGCGGAAGACTACGTGGATCGATCCACGAGATAGGTACGTAAGAGAAAAAGGGGGACTCTTCTTTTCTCCCTACACGAATATGACCGAGATAAGCAGATGAAAGAAATTTTCGGCAACAGGTCGCCGCGCCGATCACTCGTGTTTTAGAGTTACCGTAAAACTGAAGTGAATAAAACAAGAAAAGAATATATACGAGTACGTCTATACTTTTCAAAGAAACATGATTTCAGAAGAAGATTGTACTATTCTTTTATTTATTAAATAGTAAGTAGGTATTTAAGAAAATGAAATTTCTAAAAGATTATTTTTATGGTAATTTTCTTAATATATTAAATAAGACTATCTCAAATTTTAATTAATGAAGTTTTACGGCTCATCAAAAAGAGTCCAGTTTTTAATGTTTTTGTCTAATGTGTCTGTCAATCAAATCAACTTTAGTCTCGGTTCAACTTGCTCTTCATCTTTTTTTAATTCTTAGAACTAAAAAAAGATGAACTAGTTGGACGAAAATTAAAATTGAACTATTTAGACCTAGTTATATAAGATTAACTTTAATCTCGATTTAATTTACTGTTTATTTTTATCTAAATTCTTTAAAAGAAAAAGGTAAAGACTAAATTGAACTAAGATTAAAGAAAGATGTTAAAGAGGGGCCGATTTCTATCCGTAAAAAAGTGTAAGTAAAAGGAATATTTTTCTTTGTAGATTTTGATCTCCTATATACGATAAAGTTATTAAAAAATTTGGAGAATAAAAAAGCAAGAATATTGAAATTTAATTGAATACACTATGTTTGTACTCAATTTTTCGGGATTTTTCCCTAAATTTCAAATTTTTTATTAATATTATTATATTCAAAGAGTCAAAATCCAGAGGTTGCTACAAAACTAGAAATCAGAGAAATTCAAACAAACAAATGGGAATGAGGGAAAGAAGTCAAATAAAAATAAAAATTCTTGACTTTAAAGAAGTTTAATACACGTGAATCGCACTGTATTAGTCGACAATTTTAGAATATTACCAACTTAACAATTAAATGCAAGTAGGTCAGCACTCAACGCATTATTAATAATACCATTAAATACATTATTTTAAATTGATTGCTCAACAAAATATTTAACGGTTTCCAAATTAGGACGAAAATATAAACAAAATCTTATTAAAATATTATTGAAAGTCAGAAAAAAATCATGAAATTTTGTCTGGAAATCATTTATTTAGGATGAGGATTTGATGGTGACGTCTTAAAATGTATAAAAACCGCTTCTTCGTATTCGCTCTTTTTAGAGAAAAAAATCGGCCTTTTTTAATATCCTATCTCTCTTATATTGGAATCAGGCTTCTGTCTCTTGCGACGTCTTGCACGTCAAAGCGCGCGCGCGCGCGCGCGCGAGAGAGGATCGCGTGCAATCGCGTGCACATTGGCGTAAGTGTGCACGCGTTCGAGCGTCACGACTATGTCTCCCCCTCCCGTGCCCGCCGCGCACGAGACCGCGATCTCGCGAGGATACGCGATTCCGCGGGAATGCGTGTATACGGGGTGTATCGCGTGAGCCGCGCGTCGCGCTTTCTCCGTAGATTCTACGCTGGATAACGGCGGATTTTTCTTCACCGAAGCTTCGAACAGGTCGTTTGACAGCCGGTCCGTTAACAGCCGGTTTCGCATTCGATTTAGTTATTCGATATCCTCGATCGCGATGAAATGAACCATATAGTTTTACCAGGGAAAGATGTAAACTTTACTTATATACGAGACATAATCGGTTCTTACTTTAACAAGATCGCCTCAAGTAATGTCTTAAGATGCAAAAATACGGCTCTCTGATTGATTCAGGTGACGTCTTAGATAGTCGTAAATATAAAGACCGTGGCACCAACCTTTTGTACAATATAACGAATAGTGCATAAAAGAATCAATCAATGAAAGTTCCTTTCTTCCGTGAAATGGAAAGAAAGGAAGGATTCCGATTGGTTGATTCTCTTATTATGCGAAAGTCTGTACTACAGCCTTAAGAAACGATTATGAATACCGGTCATAAAGTCAGTTCTCGATTCTTGCTGTACTTTTTGCATTCGGTATCTTTGCTTTCTTTCTCTTCGACATTCCAGTATATATTTATTTCATTTTTGGAGATTTCAAGCGCGAATAGACATATAAATGTTATCATTTACTCTCACGAATTTCCTTACAATTGAATTCACGGAAACCTAGCTAACTGACAAACAATTAGCTTACGGCGCGAATGAAAAGATTATTGACGCGTGGATAGGATACAGGTATAGTAATATCGCGGTTGCCAATCTGGCATATCTGACGCCTGTCGTGCAGAGAAAGTGCGCGACTTCCTAGACATCCTGTATACGTTCGCGCGCATAGCTCGCGTGCTTCGCAAATCG